AAATTGGCATAATCAGCCCTGACCAGTTTGGCTCAGTGGACAGAGCGTTGGCCTGTGGACTGAAGGGTCCCGGGTTCGATTCCGGTCAAGGGCGTATACCTTGGTTGTGGGCACATCCATAGTAGAGGGCGTGCAGGAGGCAGCTCGTCAATGATTCTCTCTCATCGATGTTTCTCTCTCTCTCTCCCTCTTCCTTCCTCTCTGAAATCAATAAAGAAATGGAGTCTATTTTCCCTTCCCTTGAATTCAGGCTGGCCTTGAGGCTTGCTTTGACCACTGAATGCAGCCTAAGTGATAGTCTGGGACTTCCAAGCCCAGGCCTTAAGCGAACTGGCAACTTGTGCTTCCTCACTCTCAAAGCGCAGCTGCCACGCTGTGGCGTTCAGGGCAGACTCCCTGGACCAGGAGAGGCTTCAAGCCCACTGAGCTCCCGGGTGGCTGCAATGGCAGGAGCCACTCAGCTGACACCTCAAGGACCAGAAGAACTGCTAACCGCTCCACAAACCCAACCAACCCCAGGATCCTGAGAAACGATAACGTTGCAGTGGTTTGTTATACAGGCATAGATAACCAAAACATCTCTAAAGGGAGGGTTAAAACAGTATAAAGCCCTGGCCGGTCGCTCAGTTGGTTGGAGCATCATCCTGTACATCAAAGGTTGGCAGGTTTGACTCCCAGTCAGGGCAGATGCCCAGGTTGTGGGTTCCATTCCAGTCAGGGCTGGTTCGGGAAGCAACCGATCGATGTTTCTCTCTCTCACCTTACTCTCTATAAAATCAATTTTAAAAACTTTTTTCTTTTTTACAAAAGATGTTTGTGTCAGGCTGGTGTTGCTCAGTGGTTGAGCATCAACCTATGAATCAGGAGGTCATGGTTCGATTACCGGTTGTGGGTGAGGTCCCATGAGGGGGCATGCAGAAGGCAGGATTTTCAAACATCATCACTGATGTTTCTCTCCCTTCCTTCCTCTCTGAAATCAATTTTTTAAAAATGTTTTAAAGGGTGTTTGTGAGGAATAAAGTAAAATAATGTGATGAGTCCTAACTGGTTTGGCTCAGTGGATAGAGCATCGGCCTGTGGACTGAAGGGTCCCAGGTTCCATTCTGGTCAAGGGCATGTACCTTGGTCGTGGGCATGTCCCCAGGAGGGAGTGTGCAGGAGGCAGCTGATCAATGTTTCTTTCTCATCGATGTTTCTAACTCTCTATCTCTCTCCCTTCCTCTCTGTAAAAAAAAAAAAAAAAAAAAAAAAAAAAAAAAAAAAAAAAAATCAATAAAATGTATTAAAAAAATAATAATGTGTGATGAGCGGTTATAATGTTGCCTGGCATATCAGTGCTTGACAAAGAGCGGCTGTTGCTATCGGAGGAGCTAAGGTTACCCCAAGTGCAGTAGGTGACCTAAAACCGGCAGGCACATTCTGGCTCTGTGGGCTCAGGCCCTGAGGCCCAGTACAGAAGGTGAAAAGGGAAGGCTGGATCCATTCTACAAGAAGCCCAGAGGAAGTGAGCCCCCTAAGGGCAAAAGGGACCGGGGACATTTCGGGCTGAGGGGTGCACGGGACCATGTGACCCTGAGGTCTGGTGCTCCTACCTGCTGGCTAACGGTATTTAAGCAGATCCAAGCAACAGGCTCTGGCCTACCTTCGTTACACTGTGCCTATAACACAGGCGCTGAAAAGGACAATGCCTTTGATAACTTCCACAGGGGAGGTTATTAAAAGGAAAGAAATCATCACCGGAGGACAATGGGCACACCCACCGGATTTTGATATCAGAAGAAACTGTTGCTAAAGGAAACAACCAAGAGGTAGTTCCTTGCCACCTCCTACTCAATACCTCCCAGGAAACCACTCGCCAGCCCATCTCCACCCCCGGTGTGCCCACGTGAAAGAGAGCCTACATACCATAGGCCTTGCCCTCTTTCCTGGCCCTCAGCACTCATCACAAACTTAGGAACAAAGGTTGACCTCCAGAAATGCAGGGTTGCCCTAACTGGTTTGGCTCAGTGGATAGAGCATCGGCCTGTGGACTGAAGGGTCCCAGGTTCGATTTCGGTCAAGGGCATGTACCTTGGTTGCAGGCACAACCCCAGTAGGGAGTGTGCAGGAGGCAGCTGAATCAATGTTTCTAACTCTCTATAAAAAATCAATAAAGTATATTTTTTAAAAAAGAAAAAGAAATGCAGGGTTGCCCTAGCCAGTTTGTCTCAGTGGATAGAGCACAGCCCTGGGACTGAAGGGTCCTCTGTTTGATTCTGGTCCAGGGTTGCAGGCTTGATCCCTGATCCCAGTTGGTAGGATTCATGCAGGAGGCAACCAATCAATGTGGCGCACATCAATGTTTCTCCTTGTGTGTCTCTCCCTCTCTCTTCCACTCTCCAAAAAACCAATGGAAAAATCTCTTTGGCTGAGGATTAATAATAACAAAAAGTGTTGAATCTCATTAGGAATGATACAGACTTGACTGACCAATGAATGATCAGATTGTGGAATAGATTATAATAATAAAACCTCAATAATTGCTGAAACAGGTGTGGCTCAGTGGACAGAGCGTTGGCTTGGGGACTGAAAGGTCCCAGGTTCGATTCCAGTCAAGGCATTTACCTTGGTTGTGGGCACATCCCCAGTAGGGGGTGTGCAGGATGCAGCTGGTCGATGTTTCTCTCTCATCGACATTTCTAGCTCTCCATCTCTCTCCCTTCCTCTCTGTGGAAAATCAATAAAATATATATTTTTAAAAATGGTTCCACAATAAAGTTCCAAACTAGAACTGGGTAAGAATGTCCCCTTATTAAGGTCCTTCAAATAAATTAAAGTCCCACAGATAAATTGCAGGCCCAACCATACAGCCCTTCCCTGTCTCTAAGAACTGAAATAACCTATTATTTAAACCCCCAACCAAATAAAATGTGAACTTCGATAACCTCCCCTTCCCAATGTTTGTTTCTATTGGGTTCCCCTCCCCCACAGCTTGTTCTGATGGGTGAGAGGAACCAAATTTTTAACCCCAAAATGTGTATTTTGAGATACTGATTTAAACTGTATTAAGGTTTTTGTTATTAAGAAACAAAAACCTCAGCAAGAACCTTTGACCGTCCCCCCCTTCCTGCCTAGAATAATTCAGATAGAAAAATCTGCTTCAGGAAGCGAATCAACATAATCAGTTTTAGCAACATATGAATTAGTGCATGTGATGCACAGGAAGAAGTGTAGCAAAGCCCGTTTCCCTCTGGGTCCCATTGCTTCTGGGTGGCCCAGTAAGAATTTGTTTGCCATGTATTTACTCTTTCTCCTACCTGTGATTTACCTACTTCCGCTTTGTAATCCTGAACTCCCAGACTCTGTCCAGAGTGACATATAGGCCTTAACTCCCTTAATAAGGGGACATTCTTACCCAATTCTAGTTGGAAACTTTGGGGTTTCATACCTTAAGACACTCTGGCATGTAGATTCGTAACAAACTTTGTATATTTTCTCTTGTTGATCTGTCTCTGTTCATTTGATGACTAGCCCAACTGGAAGAATCTAGAAGGTGGGAGTGAAGTTATTTCTCACGCCCCTCACAGTGCCTTCTCCCCTAGCATTTGCAGCCCAGTTTCTCAAGCCAAAAGGATGAAAACAGGACATATTTATAGTATTTATATCACTCTCCTGATGTTGGTTAAATTCTGCCTTAAAAATATGAATGATGAAAAACACAAACTGGGAAAGATTTAAGCCACCTCCTCCTCCTGTGAGTGATGCAAATGAAGGCTCAATCACAAATACACCCTCCCAATGAAAAGCATGTTTTTAAAAAATATATTTTATTGATTTTTTTACAGGGAGGAAGGGAGAGGGGAGGAAGGAAGGGGGAGAGTTAGAAACATCCATCAGCTGCCTTCTGCACACCTACCACCAGGGGTGTGCCTGCAACCAAGATACATGCCCCTGACCTGAATCGAACCTAGGACCCTTCAGTCTGCAGGCCGACGTTCTATCCACTGACCCACACCAGCTCCAGCTGAAAAGCATGTTTTAAGTGACTAAAGCACATTTCCCTTGATTTCCCTTCCTTGGTACACCTTACATAAAATAATTAGATCCTCATTATATGCTCGTTCTTCGAATCCTATACTTAAGAGCTGTGAGCTTTTGTGGTGCGCATTTTATACTGCAGTAAATCATGTTTTCAAAATCGCTCACGTTGACTTAAAAAAAGGCATTGCCAAGAAAACAGTATGAAATCGGTGTCCTCGTTGCCTGCACCCCCACGCTACCTGCAACCACTTGACAGAACCTTAGAAGACGCGAGACCTGCTGAGGGAAAATTCTGCCAAATGTCCCCAGAATCTCCCCCTGCTCGGCTGATTTCTAGGCAGCCAATGCGGGCACCGGTCCCCCCTGCATAGGATCCAGGAGCTGCGCCTCCCGGGCCGGAGACTCATTCCTGGCGCTGCATTGAGGGGGCCGCGGCCCCCCAGGCCCCTGGGCAGCACCCGCCGCCGCAGGGGGACCCGGCCAGGGGTGACCCTCGGGTTCTGCCCCCGGGGATGCCGCAAAGCGGGCAGCTGCACCCCCTTTCGCATCGGGATGCGGGCGCCGCTGGTGCATTTCCCTAGACGCAGAGTGGGCGGGCGCGCAGGCCCGGGGACCCCCGCAGCCCGCAGCCCGCCGTCCTTCCGAGTGCCCCCCGAAGCCCGCCGTCCTTCCCAGTGCCCCCCACACCGGCAGATCACGAGACCCACCCCCCTACCCCGGGCATCAAACGTGGACTTCGGCACCCCACGTCAAACATACTTGCCACTCACCCCAAGCCACCCCCAAGCGCACTTACTCATTCACTCCGGCCGAGAGGGGACCCCGCCACCCGCACCGCAAGGGGCGCGGCCCCCCATCCAGCGCCCAGCCTTCCTCTTCCCTCCACGCGGCACCCCCACCCCGAGCCCTCCGGGGCCGGGGCCGGGGCCGGGGCCGCAGAGGGTCCTCCCGCCTCCCGGGCTCTGGACCCGGGGCTCTACCTGAGAAGCGGTGGTTGGGCGGCGAGGTCCGCGCCGCGTTCGGCTCGGCCATCTTCCCGTGGAGCGGGGAGCCCCGCGCCGGCCCCTGCGCCCCGGCTCCCGCGCCGCTGCCGCCGCTCGGCTCCATCAGGACGCGCTGCTCCACAGGCCCGCCGCCGCCGGCCCCTGCGCCGCACGCTCTGGCCCCGCAGCGCCCGCGGCCGCACTCGGCATGCGCACTGGGCGCGCACGTGCGAGGGGCGCACCGGTTCTCACGCCGCGAACGCGCGCCGCGCGCACGGCCCGAGTGCGCACCGGTCCTCGCGCAGCCGGCGCGCGCCGCGCGCACGTGCAACGTGGGCCCCGGTTCTCACGGCGCACGCACCTACCGCGTGCACGTGCGTGGCGCGCACAGCGCGCTGGCACACGGGGGGCGCACACCACCCGTGTAACACTGTAAACACACCTCGCCCTGCAATGCACACGCAAAGCGGCATACAGTTTCTCACGCCGCGTGTGAACAAAGCGCGCACACACCATGTATGCACGCTTCTGTGCTCACGCATCGTGCACACGCGTCTTCCCAGGGCTCACACACACTAGGCTGTGGCTCTGGAAAGAGTTCCTGGCGAGGGCGACAGGCAGGCGCCCCTGGGGCCAGGGCCAACGTGTGCGGACGCAGTGGGCCTCCCAGCAAGCACCATTGGGTTCCAGTTCTCACCCCAGCCAGGCGAGCGGCCCCTCAGGGCGGGACTCCCATACGCCGGCCAGGATGACCTTCAAGGAAGGGCGATGGCACGCAGTTTGAGGGATTTGCGCCCTCCAACCTTGCCCCCTCCCCTCCTTGGCTGATTGCACCCAGAGCTACTCAATGGTTCCTTTTTTTCCTGGAGTGCAAAGAACACGCATTTGAGAAATCTCTGGAAAGACCGATGAGACACTGTAAAACGGGTAGTGTGTCCTGAGCAGGGTGGAGGAAGTGTGGAGGGGTTGGGGGTATCCTTCCTCTGGACATCGTTTTACACGTCATGAACATTTATCTTGTCAAAATCATACATATTGAAAAAGGCATCTCCGGAGAGCCAGCTCAAGCCCCCAAGTGTTTGCCCAGATGCAGCTGCCAAGTGCTGATCCGCTGCAGTGGGGTCCCAGGCTGCGCCTTTCTCTGTTGGACCGGAACCAGCCCTCTGAGGGTCTAACGCCCACAATTAGGGGAAAGAAGAGCACATGATTAAAAAGCTGAGTTAAGCCCTAGCTGGTTTGGCTCAGTGGATGGAGCGTCGGTCTGCGGCCTGAAAGGTCCCAGGTTCGATTCCGGTCAAGGGCATGTACCTTGGTTGTGGGCACATCCCCAGTGAGGGGTGTGCAAGAGGCAGCTGATCGATTCTTTCTCATGGATGTTTTTAACTCTCTGTCCCGCTCTCTTCCTCTCTGTAAAAAAAAATCAATAAAATATATTTAAAAAAATAAATAGAAATAAAAATAAAAGGCCGAATTAAGCCCTAACTGGTTTGGCTCAGTGGATAGAGCGTTGGCCTGTGGACACTGTTTAATATATATACACATATTATTGATTTCAGAGAGGGAGAGGGAACGAGAGATAGAAACATCAATGATGAGAGAGATTGGCTGCCTCCTGCACATCCCGTACTAGGGATGGACTCCACAATCCAGGCTTATGCCCTTGATCAGAATCAAACCCAGGACCTTTCATTCCACAGGCAGATGGATGCTCTATCCATTTAGCTAAACCAGCTAGGGCTCTTATAGATTTTTAAAAAATGTTTTTATTGGTTTCAGAGAGGAAGGGAGAGGGAGAGAGAGATAAAAACACCAGTGATAAGAGAGAATCATTGATCAGCTGCCTCCTGCATGCCTCACAATAGGGATCAAGCCCAACCCAAGCATGTGCCCTGACCGGGAATTGAACCGTGACCTCCTGGTTCATAGGTTGACACTCAACCACTGAGCCATGCCAGCTGGCTTCTTACAGATTTTTGATACCAGTTTATTATTCATCTAGTTCTCTTATTTATTTATTTAAAACTATATTTTATTGATTTTTTTTTTATAGAGAGGGAGAGGAATAGCTAGAAACATCAATGAGAGAGACATCGATCAGCTGCCTCCCGCACACCCTCTATTGGGGATGTGCCTGCAACCAAGGTACATGCCCTTGACCGGAATACAACCTGGGACCCTTCAGTCCGCAGACCGACGCTCTATCCACTGAACCAAACCGGCTAGGGCTCATCTAGTTCTTTTAATCTTCACCCAAGGATATATTTTCCATTAATTTTAGAGAGAGTGAAAGGGAGGGGGAGAGACAAGAGAAACATTGTTGAGAGAGAGACACATTGATTGGGTTGCCTCCCATCCGGGCCAGGGAGAAGTACATGCCCTTGACCTGAGTGGAATCCATGATCCTTCAATTTGTGGGCTAAAGTTCTTTTTTTTTTTTTTTTTTTTTTTTTAAATATTTTATTGATTTTTTACAGAGAGGAAGGGAGATAGAGAGCTAGAAATGTCGATGAGAGAGAAACATCAACCAGCTGCCTCTTGCACACCCCCTACCGGGGATGTGCCCGCAACCAATGTACATGCCCTTGACCGGAATCGAACCTGGGACCTTTCAGTCCGCAGACAGATGCTCTACCACTGAGCCAAACCGGTTTCGGCTGGGCTGAAGTTGTAACCACTGAGAACCACAGCTAGGGCTAATTCATCCAATTCTTGAGCTCATTCATGGCTTGCTGACAAGTCAGAGTAGCATACGTACTTCTTTAGCTTTATTGTATTTTTTCTTACTTTCTATTCCACTCCGTCCTTTCCAATAATAAACACTTCCTGTTTTCTAGCTGTAGTTTTCAATCATATATTGTGAAGATATGCATGGCTTTAATTTATATAAATGGTATTGCACAATAGTTATGATTCTGTTTGTTTTTCCTTGCTTGGAATTGCTTTCAACATTTATCCATTGCAACCGTACACAAAAATCTATATAAAAAAAATAGGTTAGCCATTCATTCTGGTTTACTTTTCTGAAAATTGCCTATTCAAACTTGCCAAATTTTCTATTGGACTTTTTGTCTTTTTCTGTTGATGTCCAGGAGTTTACAGTATTCTATGTAATTCTTTTTCAAAAAATATATTTTATTGACTTTTTTAGAGAGGAAGAGAGAGGGATAGAGTTAGAAACATCGATCAGCTGCCTCCTGCACACCTACCACTGGGGATGTAGCTTCAACCTACGTACTTGCCCTTGACCGGAATCGAACCTGGGACTTTTCAGTCCACAGGCCAACGCTTCATCCACTGAGCCAAACCCATCAGGCCTGGACTCATTTTATTCATCAGTTTATTTTGTTCAATCTGTATCTAGTCGTTAGTGTAGTGCAGTAGTTCTAAATGTTTTGTCTCAGAACACCTTCACAGCAGGGGTTGGAAATAGGCCTGTGGGCAAATGAAGCCTGCCACCTACTTCTGTTATTGGAATACGACCACACGCACTTGCTTACATGTTGTCCACAGCTGCTTTTGCGGTACAATGGCAAAATGGCGTTGTAACAGACATGGCCTACAAAACCTAAAATATATACTGTCTGGTCCTTTAGAAAGTTCACCAACCTCTACATTACACCGAAAATTGAAACTCCCGCCGAGACCGGTTTGGCTCAATGGATAGAGCGTCGGCTTGGGGACTGAAGGGTCCCGGGTTCGATTCCGGTCAAGGGCATGTACCTTGGTTGCGGGCATATCCCCAGTAGGGGGTGTGCAAGAGGCAGCTGATCGATGACTCTCATCGATGTTTCTAACTCTCTATCTCTCTCCCTTCTTCTCTGTACAAAATCAATAAAATATATTTTAAAAAAAATTGAAACTCCCAAGCAACTTTTATGTTAATACCGCGTTTCCCCAAAAAGAAGACATCCTCTGAAAATAAGACCTAGCGCATGGAAAGATAAGACATCCCTTGAAAATAAGACCTAGCGCAACTTTGGGAGAAAAAGTTAATATAAGACAGTCTTATTTTTGGGCAAACAGGGTAGTGGGTGCTAAGTTTTCAAAAAGTGTAGCTTTTACTTGAAAGTATGATTGTAGTATTGGCAACACTGTCAGTGGTCCTTGCAATGACTAGTTCACTTGTGTTGTATCTCTGAAATAGGGATGTCAGAAAATCTAAAAAAAAAAAAAAATTCATAATTTTTTATTTACAAAAAAAAAAGCCAAGGCTTTAAAAACATACTTTTAGTGAACAAATTTGAGAAGAGTGGCACTGTTTCACAGATTTGCAAATCTCTTTACCGTCTTAACAGAAGACAACCACCTATCTGCTTTTGTTTTCCACGTGTTGCAGTATATTATTTTGGTTAAAGCATATGAAGAAAATCTGGCCTCAGAGGTATGTGGTTGGAAGAAGAGAAAAATATTTGAATAGCCTTTTCAGATCTGTGTATGTTCTTCCATATTATATCCAATCTTAACAAATGATAATTTCATAGTTTAGTTGCAATGTGGGACCTAACACTGAATCAATCATCTTTTCATACTATTATAATTAAACCCCACTGATCATTGAGAAAATAATGGCTAATCCATGAACTTCCAAATGTCAACACATTTCATTCTACAATATTTAAAAAGTCACATTCGTTAATACCATCACTGTTCTTTTCAGAAGTCTTCACTCAGACTGTCAAGCTAATGGTAGCAGGCACTAGTTTCCAAAGTTCTAATTTTCACTTGAAAGCTCAAATTTTATCACTTCCAACAAATGATGTCAGTTGTATTCCTTCAAGTGATGGGCTTATTTTATTCACTTGTGAGAAAATGTTTTCTTCAAACCAAATTTGAAAAACCAGTCAATTCAAGTAAAAGTGGTGTTCCGTGAGCAGCAGTGGCTAGTTTAGTTTGCAATAGAAATAGTCACACACGTTTTTCCTTAAGACAACCGTACTTCCCAGGATGAGAAGCGCTGTATGTAGCACTTCTTGTTTTGTCACATGAAATATTAAAAAGATGTGCACTCAAGAGCTGGATTTAATGAGATTAAGTTTTTATTGCTTTGCAGGAACAGCTAGGTAAAATTCACTTAAAAAATCGTTTGTTTGCTTTTGATCACCTTTATAAAAAAAATTCTAATTA